TTGGCAAAGGTGGAATTAAAAGTTTCCCTTGTCTTCCCTTTGACTCTAGGTATGTACATATGTATGTAGTCATACTCGTATTACACTCCTGGACTTGCTCGTAGAATTTTCTTTCATTACCATGGAAAACAATTAACTTGAAGGGACCGTACTGACTGACTGACTCCCTACTAATTAAAATTCACTCCGAGCTGCTCAAACGAACACAACAATGAAGGAAGAACAGCATTCGATAAAGTCAACAACTAATACCAAACGAATCCCCCCCACACTCCCCATGCAGCTGCAGTCTACCAAAAAATTCCACTGAATTCCGAGTTCTGCTACTGCCCCGCAGGGGGAGCTGGATTTTATTGTTCCAGCTTAAAAGCTAGATGCAGTAGATATGAACACGCAAAACTTTTTGCCCCAGGGGGGGGGGGGGGGGGGGGGGGGGGGGGGGAGAGCAGAAGAAGGAACGTGCAGAAAAACATTCGAGTGTCGGTAGTCGCGCAAGATGCTCGAATGCTTCGATGCTCCCACGCTCATATGCTGCATAGTTTCCTCAACCGAAGATATGTAGCACCAAAGTTATCTTTCCTTCGAACGGAACGAACTGGATTTGTCTGTGGCGGAGAGCAAGCACCATGTATGAGAACCGACGGGAAACTTACGGCATGTACTCCCCTGAGTCGAGCATGTGGCAAAAATTGGAATGGAATTGTTTGCCCAAAGTTAGACCCAGAGAACATCATTGTACATCGATTTCCACAAAGGAGAAGTACTTTATGGAGTCCATCTTTTAAATTATCACTAATGCGGTACAAGTGGTAAAGTTTCTCGGTTCCGAGACAAATTAACGAGTCTATTAACCCATAATTAGCACCACAACTTGGGGTCATTAGGCCTGGGACGTATATAAAAGCTTGCTCCGTGTGTCGCCAGCTGCAACAAACTGTTTGACATGAAGGACAACGGCAAGTGGCCTGCACCTGGCAAGAGAATCTTGGAGAGGAAGCGGCGCCTGGGTCCACTGAGGGCAGCCATTGCCAGCACCTTCTGGGAGTACACGGAGCGAACGAAGGTGAGCGGAATGTGGCTGCTGCGACGTCAGCGCACACACGGACTGTCCAGGTGAGTGGAACCCTCTACTCCCAGTGCTGAGTAATCCTCCGAGTGCTCTGTCCTTCAGATTCATTTGGTCCTCGGTGCTGCTGCAGCTGCTCCTGCTGAGCATCTACCTGACCCTGCTGCTCTGGCTGAAGTTCTACTCGTATCCCATTCTGAATACCATTTCGAACGATCTCTCCATCACGGACGTGGCCTTTCCCGGCGTCACCATCTGCAGTCCCAAGGTGGTCAACACAGAGCGTGTCGAGCGCTACGTCAAGACGCTGTGAGCAAAGAAAATATGAAGCTCCCTGAACGCTAACTGTCTCCCCTTTGCACAGAAACATTCCCCCAGAGTACGCGCTGGCTGATGTGGCAGCGGGCTTCGAGTTCCTCAACGCCTTCACGGACCAGAGCTTTGAGCCGCCGACCCACGAGAGTTACAAGGTCACCGATGCGGTGCTTCGGCTGAACAACGTCAGTGTGTGGGAGGCGGCCATGGCTGTTAGTCCGGGCTGCTCGGACTACGTTAAGCGCTGCTTCTGGGGCCACACCGAGTTCCAGTGCAACCAGAGCCACGAGTATCTCTCCTTTATACCCACGACGGCGTATCTGGGTCCCTGCTGCTCCTTCAACTACAATCCGCGCAACTCCAGCTACGTGCCCTTCTCGTCCAACATCTTTGGCATGGATGGCGGCCTCACATTTATCGGAGCCGAGGGCTCTGAGCGTAATCTCAACACGGGCCTCATCGTGCTCGTGCACCATCCCATGGATTATGTCACCGAGTCGGCCTCCTCGGTGACAATCACCGCGAGATCCGAGAGCTTTCTCGAAGTCTCGCCCACGGTGCAGAGCTCCTCGACGGAGGTGCTGGAGCTGTCGGAGCGCAAGCGGGACTGCCTCATCTCGGACGACTTGAGGCTGCGAAACTATCGCCAGGCGGCCTGCATGCTCTCCTGCCAGACGGAGGCCATTGTCGCCAAGTGCGGCTGTCATCCGTATCTCCTGCCCATTGTGGGCAACCAGTTCAAGGAGTGCAATCTAAACGATACATTCTGCTACTCGGCAAACTATGGTGAGTCTCTGGTAGAGTGTCGTGTGGGTCTGGTGTGCGGCTTACTGTCACTTCTGGCTCTGCCCACGCGCATCCTTCAGGGGCTGACAAGGTTCACGTACTCTCTACTCTTCCGACAGCCTTTGTCACGTTGTCGCCTTCGCCTTCGCCCTTGGCTGGCTGGTACTTTTCATGAATTTCCCATGTTGCTGTTGCTGTTGCTGTTGCTCTTGCTGCTGTGTGTGTGGGTGCTGTTGTCGTCGTCTGTTGTGCTCGCTCATGTTTCATAATTTATATTAAATATTCAGGATACTCACGTGCCCGAGTGTCTGCACTATACGCCATGACTTGGATGCGCCCACAAATCGCTTGGGAGCTCATTTGCACGTTAACATAAAGCCCTAAAGTGTGCTCGCCCCTTTCGATATGCAAATTTAAAAAAGAATACCAAAAGGTTGATGCTTTCCCCGTTTACTTCGCCCTAGACAACTTTAAGAGCGTGCGCTGCGACCAGTGCCTGCCCAATTGCTACGATGTCACCTACTCCACGCTCTCCTACAAGACCGATCTCAATCAGCATCAGTTCTCAGTCAGCCGCTACTAGTGCGTACAAGAAACCTTCTTTAAAGTTCTCTATTGATTCCCCTTTAAGCTCTCAGGAGCTGCTCAACAGAGACAGCTTTGTGCTGCGCGTTTACCTCGCCAAGCAGGTCGTTCCGGTCATACGCAAGGTGACGGTCATGTCTTGGATTGGATTACTCTGTGGGTACTACTCTAGCTCTAGGTTACATCTTAACTTTGCAGACTTCCCTTTCAGCTGATCTGGGTGGCATTTTCAATCTCTGCCTGGGCCTCAGCATGATCTCTGTTGTGGAATTCTTTTACTACTGCATCTACCGCTTCTACGTCAACTACCAGCTGCAAAAGGGGCAGCTGCCCCGGAAGGCGTGGCAGTAGCGTTCGCTTCATATTACTACGTTTTAATATAAAACTTTAATCTAAACATTAACAAGTAGTTGGTGGCTGCATCAAATTGTTATTTACACTTTCTTCTTTTTCGTTTTCTGCGATTGGTTCGCTGCCTTGCGCTTTTGCTTGGCTTTTTCCACCTTGGCAGTTGGGTTTTCTTGCTCTTCAGTTTCCTCTTCGCTGTCGCTGTTTTAAATATCGGGAGATTAGCAATTGGTAGGGCAAAGGAACTCAAATGAAGACTCACCCCACAGTTGGCATCTGCTCAAACATATCCTCATACTCATCGTCCACAGGGGTTGTCTTTACACTGATCTTTTGTGGCACTAAATCATCCGCTTCCTCATCCTCCTCCTCCTCCTGTTCATCAGCAACCTCTGGCTTCTCCTCCTTCAGTGGGCGTAGAAGCACCTTGGTGGCCTTCGACTTGACGTAGCACTGATAGAGCAGCACTGTGGAGTCAGTGTCATGGACGCGCACATAGCGATCCAAGCTGGCAGAGCTCAAGAAGCGTCCAGTCGGATCCAAGTGCAGGTCACTGACGCCACCAGTGAACCCCTTGTACGTGTGCACATGTGTCTTCATGCGTCGCGTGTCGAAGGCCTTCAGGGCGCCCATCGTGGTGCCCGTGTAGATGTAGTTTCCCCGGGCCACCAGCGTCGCGAAGCTCATGCCGTGCTCCTCGCTGGCAAAGCAGGCTACGGGGCGGCGCTGCTTGCGCGTGTCGTACAAGCGAACGTATCCGTGACGCGAGCAGGTCGCTAGGACACTCGGCCCGTCGACAAAGCCAATGTCACTGTCCCACACGGGGACCTCCAGCTGCAGATAATCGTTGGGCAAGTTCTTGGAGGTAAAGATCTGCTTGCCATCGGCGCTCAGGTCGTAGACTTTCAGATTATTCTGTCGCTCCTTGCCACCGGTGGCCACAATGTTCCTGGCCTGTGCGCACTGCCGCAGATGATCCATTTGGTTGCCAGTGGAGATGACAACTGGCGGCGTTTCCTCCTCAGGGTCCAGCTCCAAGCTTTGCAGCTCTCCATTCCCAATGCCGGCAATCAGTTTGTCGTTGTAGCGAGCCAGGCCAACAATGGGAGCGGCACTGAAAGTCGCATTACGCACGGAGAAGCCTTCTTCCCCAATGGAGTGCACCTCGGCGATGTTTTTCGCTCGGCCAAGCAGAATTTCTGTTCTCGCATCGTTGCCGAAAGCCAGAGCAGTGACTCGCGATTCCTTGTCCAAGTCTTTTAGATCACTGAGGTTCCGCTGTCCATGTGGGGCCTTCTCCGATGCCGGCAGCAGATCTACAATAAGCGGGTAAAATGATTCCAATTTCCATTGTCGAAACTTCAACGGCAGAAAGACTCACGTTTGAACGATCCTGTGTGTGTGCCCACGTAAATTTCATGATGTGCTGTATAATTGGGGTGCTTCAGATTCGCCGTGGTCCACTTCATCTTGATAAATACTTGTTTTTAGCTTAATTTTCGTATTTTATAAACCTCGCCAAGACAAAACAAACGCACGTGCGGGCTAAGGTATCGATGAATGGCGCGATACATCGATACAATCTAATTTCGAGAAAAAGTGTTGCACAACTTCTAGAGACGGACAAATATAAATTGTTGTTGACCTTTACAGTTTGAAACTAATTTGGCAAACAATGCAATACAATAGACTCCTGAAAGCTAACCAATCATGTGGACAATTAATTCGCCAAGTGGATAAAACTATAGGTAATGTGCTGAGAGTCAGATCTTGCTGGTAATATTAAGCAGAACATAAAAATCGTGGAAAATTATTTACGATGCGGTATATTTGCGGTAAATTTTGAAAATGAGATGAGTTTATAAACGGTATCTCGTTGAGGGTCATATGTTATCGATAAATCCACTGATCAGAACGTTTATTTACCAATTTTATTTATAACACCATAATATAATAATGTCGAAACGTGTACAACCTGCGTGGCAAGCACCGAAGCCAGCGGAGCGGCCAAAGCTACGGCTGTACAACAGCCTGACGCGACAAAAGGAGGATTTCGTGCCGCTGGATGGGAACAACTTGACGTGGTACAGCTGCGGGCCGACTGTCTACGATGCCTCGCACATGGGGCATGCACGGTAAGCGCCGCCACATCACCAGCACAGAGTCGGTATCTGTATCTTATCTGTTGCCCCAATAGATCTTACATTTCCTTCGATATTCTGAGACGCATTCTGGCCAATTATTTTGGCTACAACATTCACTATGTGATGAACATCACGGACATCGATGACAAAATCATCAAGCGCGCCCGGCAGAACCATCTCTTCGAGGAATATGTCAGCGAATCGGCAAAACTGCCACTCGGCCAGTTGCTGGATGACCAGAAGCAGGTGTTCGTACGATTCCAGGAAACCTGCGCCAAGAACACGGATCCAGACAAGAAGCTGATGCTGGACAAGACGCTGCAGCGCACGAACGATGCCGTCGATGCGCTCACACAGGCAGTGAGCCAAGGAGACGAAAAGAGCATCGCTGAGAAGCGCCAGCACTACCTCAACGAGGCCAAGGATCCGATTGCCGAGTGGTTGGACGGCAAGAAGGGCGCTGAGATCAATGACAATTCGGTCTTTGAGTCCCTGCCACGCTACTGGGAAGATCAATTTCACAACGACATGAAGTCACTCAACGTGAGTCATTCAACCAGAGTTTCAGAACATTTCCTTACTCTCGCTCTGTGCAGATTCTCCCACCGGATGTGCTCACGCGTGTCTCGGAGTACGTGCCACAGATTGTGGCCTTCATTCAGAGGATCATCGACAATGGCTTGGCGTACGCAGCCAACAGTTCCGTCTACTTTGATGTGAATGGGTTCGACGGGAAGGAGAAGCATCACTACGCCAAGCTGGTGCCGGAGGCCTACGGCGACACCAAGTCCCTCCAGGAGGGTGAGGGGGATTTGTTTGTGGCCGAGGATCGGCTCTCGGAGAAGCGTTCGGCCAACGACTTTGCGCTGTGGAAGGCGAGCAAGGCCGGCGAGCCCTGGTGGGACAGCCCGTGGGGTCGCGGTCGTCCCGGCTGGCACATCGAGTGCTCGGCCATGGCCTCCGACATCTTCGGCTCCACCTTTGACATACACACGGGCGGCGTGGATCTGAAGTTCCCGCACCACGACAACGAGCTGGCCCAGTCGGAGGCGGCCTACGACGAGTCCGAGTGGGTCAAGTACTTCCTGCACACTGGACACCTCACCATTGCCGGCTGCAAGATGTCCAAGTCGCTGAAGAATTTCGTCACCATTCAGGAGGCCCTCAAGAAGCACTCGGCCACCCAGCTGCGACTTGCCTTTCTCCTGCACTCGTGGAAGGACACGCTGGACTACTCGGAGAACACCATGGAAATGGCCACGCAATACGAGAAGTTCCTCAATGTAAGAGGCATTCAATGTGGTTTCTTTTTGTACTCTAACTTCTGGTTTCCCCCTTGCAGGAGTTCTTCCTGAATGTGAAAGATCTCACCCGCCACGTGCTGTCGGAGGAGCCGCGACGGCAGTTTGATGCCTGGACCGATGTCGAGGCCGCTCTGCAGAAGAAGTTTTCCAGCTCGCAGGTGCAAGTGCATGCGGCCCTTTGTGGTAAGTGGAAAATCCCATTCTCCATTCAGTTAACCAATGAACTCTCCTACCCTTCCAGACAACGTGGACACACGCAGCGCCCTCGATGCCATTCGGGAGCTGGTCTCCGCCTCCAATGTCTACATACGGGACAACAAGTCGCGACTGAATAGCCTTCTGCTGCGCAATGTGGCCACCTACATAACCGACCTGTTGCACGTGTTTGGTGCCATTTCCGGGCCACGCGGGGGCATCGGCTTCCCAGTGAGCGTCGGAGGCGGTGCGCAGGCAGCGGCTGGTGGCGACCTGGAGACGACAGTGCTGCCCTATGTCCAGACACTGGCGGAATTCCGCAATTTGGTGCGTGAGCAGGCGAAGGCATTGAAGGCATTCGACATTCTGAAGCTCTGCGACGATCTGCGGGACAATATTCTGCCCAATTTGGGTGTGCGACTCGAGGACAAGGACGGTGGCAAGTTTGCCGTCAAGCTGGTGGATCGCGACTCGCTGCTGCGCGAACGTGAGGCCAAACTGGCCGCCGAGGCGGACAAGGCAGCTGAGAAGGAACGCAAGAGGCAAGCAGCTGCCGAAGCAGCAGCCGCCAAGGAAGCGCAACGTCGCCTCAATCCCAAAGAGATGTTTCTGCGCGAAACAGAAAAGTACTCGGCCTTTGATGAGAACGTAAGTTAAAGAGGAATTACAGCAGGAATCTCATTAATTTGTTTGTCCTGCCAGGGCCTGCCCACACTCGACAAGGAAGGCAAAGAGATTAGCAAGGGACAGCTGAAAAAGCTACAAAAACTGCAGCAGCAGCAGGAGCAGCGTTACAAAGAGTATTTGGCAAGCGTAAACGAAGCCTAAACTATGAAGAAAACCAGCACCAAAAGTATCGCAACGATATTAACTAAGCATTTAGAAGAATATTCACAGACTAACCCTATCGACAGACCGCTTAAAATGAACTCGTGCTAGCCTTAGGCTCAACGTGAGAATAAAACTCGCCTTTTCTATGGTTTATCAACTTTTAATATTGGTTATTGTAGTTGGATGCAAACTCCAAACTCTCTTCAAACTAAAACAGTTTCCTATGCGAGATCCAGTGGTAGAGCTGGGGCAGCATCAGCTCTGGGCTCTGCCTTCGATCTACTTATATATTCGAATGCAACACAAAAAGATTTCCTCTAAATTTGAGTTCCACACAAGTCTTTGGTATTTTCCATAATTATTCAACCCGGAGTATCGTTTACAAGCTGCCAATGTCATTGTAGCGCTTCAACTTGTCCGGGAAATTGTCCCTGAAGAGCACTGGATCCGCCCGAAACTCCACCGTGCGCAGCGGCATGCGGCCATAGATCTTGGAGAAGCGATCAATGCAGGCGGAGCGCTCTCGCATGTGATTCAGATCGGCCGAGAGCATCTCGGTGTTGGTGCACTCGGGACACTTGAACTTCTTGCGCGGCGTCACCTTGATGGGCGGATTGTTGGTGATATTCGCGACCAGAAAGTTCATGGCAATGTCCTCGCAGTTCATGTGCTCGTCCACCCAGTCCTTGATGTCGCCCGGCATGGCATAAGTGTACATGTGGCTCCAGTACTTGTGGTGGAAGGCAGCGCCCGTCAGCACCATGGATATCTGGTTTGTCCACTCCGATTCGTAGTGCCAGCGCATTGTCACATTGTCCCACACATGGATGCGACTGGGGAAGCCGACGATGTGGTCAGGGAACTCTCGCCAAACCTCATAGCTGCAGGGAAAAGTGAAACTTTAAGCTGAAACTCCATCAGAGTTGAACTCTCCGTTACCCAAAGTCAAGCTCATCCGTTGTTAGCATGATAATGTCATCGTCTATGGTTAGGATGGCTTCAGTTTCGATCTCTGGGTAGGGATAGAACCGATTCGATAGCTTGTTCTCTTTCGTTTGCCTGATCTTCAGCGGCTTAGAGATGGATGGGAATGTGGATACTGCAATGGAAGATGGGATTAATGCCAAAGATCTACACAGAAATATTCCATCGATGCTCACGGTGTGGCGGCGCCTTCTTTTGGTTGTTCCAAATAACCAAAATGCTCTGCAGCGAGGGCACCACAGCCAGCTTCTGGATCAGCAGGAAGAGACTCTCCACACGGTCGTAGGTGAGAATGACGGCGGTGAAGCCCTGCGACTTCGGCGCCAACGAGGGCAGGAACAGGGGATTGAAGGTGGCGCGTGGATTGGTGGCAATGGCATTCCACTGGCGACTGCTGCGTGCGCGCAGCGGGAATATGCGACTCTCGAGCACCTCCAGAGCCGTCAGCGTGACGGTCTTCAGATCCTTAAAGTACTTCGAGTACAGCCACTGGACTTGCTTCTGCATTTCCACAATTTTCACATTGGAAATGGCTTTCAGCTTCTGCATCACGGAATGCAGCTCGAATTCGCGTATGCGCACGGAGGCCAGCGACCAGTCAATGACATCCTCGAAGGGCAGCACATAGTTGTCGATGGCGATGACAGGGATGCAGCTCTCGGACATAATCTCCACCAGATCGGGCTGTCCCAGGCGCAGGCTTCGGCCCACAAAGCAGAACTTTCCACGCGACAGCAGGCGGGGATACTCGAGGAGTTTCTTGTGCTGCGAGAAGGAGCAGCGCGTGGAGAGATCCATGCCCTCGCAGGGTCCCAGCAGCAGCAGCTGATCGGCATGGGAAGCGGACAGGTCGCGCAGGGCTCGAAGGAAGCGCGGAAGAATGTTCAGCTGGGCCACGACCAGCAGAAACTTTCGCTGGGCCGCCGCGTGTGGATGCTGATGGGCCACGCGAGGACTCCATACGGGTATGGCGACATCAAAGCCCGGTCGGTAGGTCCAGGTATCGAAGCCACCGCCAAATATGATGGCATTGTCCGTGTTCACATCGAGCACCGAGTTGTAGGCTGGCGCACTGCCTGGCAGCATGTTGAAAATGATGTGGTTGTCGCCGCGATCCCAAAAGTCCAACGAGGCCAAGGCGGCACCCGCCAAGTGCTTGTCAAAGACATTTTGGCTCAGCAAATCCAAGCTCGGAAGGAACAGGCACGCCTCATTTGGGTTCGACGTGTAGTAACGACTCTTGAGCACTGCCTCCAGGATTTGGAAGTACTCGCTGGACAGTGTGGTGGCCACTTTGTCAGTCTTCTCGTCCACAAATTCTTGCAGCGGATAAATGTACACCTTGAGCCTGTCGTGCTCGCACTTGTAGATGTTCAGGCAGTCCCAGAATGTGCAGTTTCCATTGCGCTTACGCTGGTCCGCGTCCGAGTGCAGGAGGACCTCCTGGCTGTGCGAGAGGTCCAGCACCAGGGTGTGCGAGTCCCTTTTGCCATAGAAGAATCCATCTCGTTGGCTGCTCGCGAGGTCCCACAGCAGGAAACCAGCACAGAGAGCGACAATTGTCAATAGGCCATAGGTCAGGCAGTTCAGAAGCTGCTCTTTGGGATTGCTGCCCGATATGGTTCGAGGCTGGGTCACCAGGTTTAACAAATACTTGAACTTGTTCATTTTTTGCGAGTTTTTCTTACATTTTGTCGAAAAAAAGATTTTGTCCTGTTTTTCTCGATTGTTGGTATGACCGTTTGGCAGACGCGCGAAAACGAGACGAAAGCAAACGAGCGACATAGAAACAGTGGAGTGTTTTGCAGCACTAAAAAAGAACACAACGGACTTGCAAGAGTAATCGTTTTTATAGGCGAATTTTTATTGCTTTAACATTTATACAACAAACTCTACTCCTCCTTCAACTGAACGCTCATTTTGGTGGCCTTGATGTCGCACTCGGGCAGATGTTTCTTCAGCTCAAGAGCCACTTGTTGCATGTTCTTTACGAAGAGCATATCAAATATGAGAAGTTGCTTCAGGTTTTTCAGCTCGGAAATGACGCCCAGGCCAGAATCGCTAATGTTGTAGCAGCCTGAGACTTGAAGCCGCTCCAGCGAGTTCTTGATGTGTGTCAATCCCTCCAGTCCATCGTCCTCCAGATGCTTGCAGTTGTGAAAGATGACCGTGTCGATTGAATTGCATCCCTTGAAGTGGGCCAGTCCGATTTTCATTATGGATGCGTTTGTGGCATCCACGACCTTGATGGAGAATTTGCTCGTCTCTGCTGGCAGGGAGTTGTAGTCCTTCCACAGCCTAGTCGGATTGTCCACAAACCGCACACCGCCTCCGTTCTTCACAATCCATTCGGCACATAGCCGGTTTGGGCCCACCTTGGCGAGACGCTCTGCATCCACTTGATTGAAGGCCACAGCCACATAGCCCCATATATTCCGCCCGTTTGGGTAGGAAGCCTGCGGCAGGCACTGGGATATTCGGAATAGTTGTAGCCCTTTTGTTAACGTTTTTGAAATCTGGTTTAATATCGACATAGCCAAATGAAGCGAACAGCTGTTGGCGGCGCACGTTACGCAGCACTGTTGCGCTGCCTATTTTTGTGCTCTACAATTTTGAAATCATGTTTTCTAGATAGTTACTTAAAATTCAGTTGGAGAACTTTGTTATTTTATGGCTTTTTATATCTGTCATTTTGCATCCGACAGCGCCAAATAGTGTTTTGAGATGATCTTTAGTATTCAGTCGGTGCCGAATGTAATAAATATGTTGTTGAAATGTAACAACATGTAGTTGCCGTGGCGTAACCATGTAAGTAAAGTTCATTTTTTTTAACTTTCTTATTTGTTACACAATTTTAATAAGCAATGTCTCTTAAATCACTGAATCTTGTAGAAGATTAATTGATTAATCGGATAAAATTATAGTTTTAGCGCGGAGACTGCTAAATAGCCAGTATAATCAAATAGAACATCAAAATCGAGGAATACGACCTTAGTCTTAGGTATATTTTTAAAGTGAGATGGTATATTTTGACCTTTTTGATAGTTCCCCTGGAAACTCGGGCTGTGAAAACATCGATGGTGGAAATAGTATAGGTATCCCAGATTAACCTAGTAACAATAAATATATTTGAATATGAAACTAGTTCCCCATCTGTATTATTAACGCAGTAGGAACGGCAGTTAAAGTGTTACACCCGACCACACTTTTTACTAAGCATTATATAGTTTGAATTATAAGAAAATGCAACACCTTGCATGCCCTCATCAACAACCATCGATATCAACACCGAACATACCCTTTTCAAGAAAATATCGACAGCCAATGCGGATTCATCGTCGTGCGACGATCCGATTCGCTGTAGCGATTAAATACCAGACATTTTTCTGCCGCGGACAACGTTGTGTCGAACCCGCGTCGGTCTTCGATTTAATTAATGGGCAAATCGGAAGAATTAACCAAAGTAAATAAAAACATAAAGTAACTGGTACCCAAGTGAAGAGGTTTCGGTGTGCTTAATGCTAGAATCCAATAAATATTCTAATATCGAGTGCGTCTTACTCTCGGAAATGAATCCAGAGAGCGTGTGAGCATAAAATCTCGGCAATAACAAAAATCATACATATGCTTGTGGTTATGATTGAAATGTACCTAAGAATGGATCTTAGGCGCTTGATAAATGAACAAGTTGATTGTTTAGTGCAAAACTAAAGCTACAACATTCTCGAAACAAACAAATAGCAACAAATATCGTCAAATCGGAAATTCATTCTCGTTACGTTCAGTGTTGTTTTTAATGAGTGTGGCTGCGTTTGTGTGTGTGTATGTATGTGGATGCCGCCACCGCAATTGAAGAAAAATACACCAATACCAAGGCAGTGAATAAAAATACATCATAGCTGTGTGTGTCGGTGAGCAGCGGTGACGTCGCAGCCAGCAGGCAGTCGGGGGCAGCGCGCAACGCCAGCGTCAGCATCGAACGTGTTTAAGTGACGAATAAACAACCGAAGAATCACATCGCGCTAAAGCAGGAGATAGACAAACAGAACGGTACAGACAGTTGAACATTTGTACATTTCTTTCACACATACACCGACCCGACCCACTCGTATGCATATGCATACCCCGACGTAATAGTTGCCGCCGCAGACATTAAGGCTCTGCTCTGCCCTGTCTATCCCACTCGCGCTCTTGTTTACACAAACGCCCACATCCCGACACCATCGCAATCACCCGCAACCTCCAACCCCCCGTTGCGCTTATATTGTGAATAGGTAAGTAAATGCCGCAGTCCCGCTGCCTAATTAAGTTAGAAATTCACTTTTGCCAAACTTAAGTCTTTTTCCCTCTCTATGTGGCAGTCTCCTCTGCCCATATTCTGGTTTCCTAACTTTTTAACGATCATCTATGATTCTGCTTCTATGCCTGTACCAACTCCTCAGGCACCCAGCGGTGTGGTATGGCTGGACGCATGCAAAAGATGAATGATAGATAGATACACACATGCAGGCACACGGCCATGCCAGATGATAAATGGCGCGCTATATTAGATGATTTATTTCTTGAGCTTCCCCAAAGCCCGCGCCGTAGTTCATTGTGCCTCGGGTACGAAAATGGTTACCTCTCCTTATCCTCTTATCCCCCGCTTTGATGTTAATCTGCTGTATCTCTCGTGCGGAGATTTGTTTCGTTGATTCTGAGCCCCCGAGACCCGAACAAAAGAATTCTGACATTAGTAGTCTCAAAATAGGAGACTAAATTCCAACAATCTATGAAAGAATTAGAACTGCCTGAACGTTGGGTACTTCGTATTGACTAAAATGGTGGTAAATTTATTTTCCATTGATCGTTTCGGTTCGGCCATTCGCTCAGCAAATCCCGTGCTGAGTCAACAACTATTTCCTCAATTCTTATTGACTAGCTTTTAGTTAATTTTTGCCTTGATTTTCGCTGGAACTAATCGCAAAACCATAAGCATTATTTCCATTGATTTTAATAACTTTCCAGAAAATCATTTTCGCCCTCTCTCTCCTCCACTATTTTCGCCGTGTGCCAGTTATTCGTCCGCCTCTCTCTCCTTCAGTCTTTGGTCTTTGGGTTTTTTTTGCTGTTTTTCTGTTTTCTAATTAGTTATAATTACACTTAATGCAATTTAGTTATGAGGTTCTGTTTCTGGGGTCCCCCATCCGTACATTCGTGAGTGAGCCTCAGCCTCAGTCCCAGTCCCAGCCCCAGCCCCGATGTTCGTGCCGTTTCCATTTTTGCATTTATACATTTAACATTGATGGGGGATTTTATGATTAGTGCAAAAGTTTTTTCCTGCCACTGCCGCTGCTGCCTCTCGATGCATTTGACTGGGCTTTCAGTTACAAGGGAACCCAGAGGGAACGCGAGGAAGGAAAGGGAACGGGGACGGGGAGAAAGCCCCTTCAGACAGCAGGCGTTGAATGCATTTTGTAGTTGTACAATTTTACTCGTGGCCGATAAGTGAGTCCCGGTTGCATGTACTTATTTTTTCTCAGAAAACCATTCATTTTTGTGTAAAAAGCTACTTATGTGTGGGTAACTAATACTCTATCCATACCAACGTAAAAAGTAGCTTTTATTTTGGGTTGCAGCTAATTTCAAACAAACTTAAATTCTGGGGAAGATTTGAAGGTTTTCCCTTAGCTGAAAGGGTTTCCAAAAGGTGCTGCAAAAATGGTTCCAGAGCTACGATTGTATTTACCTGAGCATATAATAAATTATGCCTTGCTTCAAGGTGTGAATTCTAGCTAAATTCAGTATCACTCCACATCATATGCATATGAGCATGGGCTTGGGCCTGGGCCTCGCCTGCCATTTCAGACTAAGCAAGGAGATCATATCAGGTGGTGGTCTCATAAATAAATGCATTTAATGCTTCGTTGGTCGCTGAGTGCGGGGATGGTGTCTGTTGGCTGGTGCTGGTGCTTTGCTGCAATTGCTGCAGATGGCCAGAGGTACATTGTACATACCTCCCTTTTGCAATGAACCAAACCAAACCAAACCGAACCGAACCAAACTTGACCATGGCATGTCCCTTGTCTCACGAAGCCATCTTCCAATGATGGAGTCGCAGCTCTAAAGAAGCAGTAACAGCAGCTCCTCATCATTAGCAATTTGAAATGCATTCAAAGAGGGATGTAGTGGGGTGGGGGGCAATGCGGAGATCGGGAGATGTGCTCGGCCGGGACTGCGAGCGAGTGTATCCAATTATTTCAGCATTTTATGGCGTAAATTTCCTTAAACCCAACCACTTTTCAGCTGAAACGAATCGCGCAAACTGAAGAACGGCAACAAAATAACGTATGCAGGCAGGTCCCCCACACCCCGGACACCACCTAAAAAGGAGATGTGTACGAAGAGGGGCGGGGAGCAGCTCCACAGCAGCAACAAATCTTAAAAAGGCATCAAGATTATTGCACAGAAAAATTCTTTTCTTCACACCTCGGCCAGACAGCCCAACGTCTGCGTTTCGGAAAGGTCTCTGCAGCTGTGGCTGTGGATGGGAATGGGGATGGGACTGTGGAGTTGGGGCTTGAAAAAGAATGAAGGAAACGAAACGAAACCCAAACTCGAAGAATTAAATGCGACTTCAAAGAAAGAGGCACAGAAAAGCGGGCACACGGGCACAAGAAATATGGTCAAAACGAAGCTATGATGCGAGGGTCGTGGCGAGGGTCGGGGGCTGATCCCAGGCCCATGGCTCAGGCCCGGGCTCGGGCCGACACCACCACCAACAATGGACATCATGTGCAACAACAATAAAAACCAATTTAAGCCGACGACCAAGCAACGTCTTGTGAAGTGTGTGGATCGTCGAGTGTGGAGTGTGGAGGAATCCTCTGTAGGCTTGCCTTCTTGTCGGCTTTCGTTTAAGCGAGACTCTTGGGCTGACGTCCCGAACCAACAACAACAGCAACAAAACGAAGGCATACACACAATCGGTTTCAGAAATCAGATTCGGTTCGAAGTTGAATAGTTTTTTGTTGTTGAGAATTATGTACACATACATATATGTATGTACACATGTATGTTTGCATGTATGTATTCATCTACAATATATTGTATGTATGGCTGCATGTGCATGCGGGATATCTTTGTCGCTCCTCAATCTATGGCTGACATTGTGGATCTGTGCCTGTGTGTTGATGTTGTTTTGTAACTTTGGTTTAGGGTTTGTTTTTGGGTTTCCCGTGATCTAGCTAAATCAATCCCACAAGATATACAAATGTCCCAGTTCATTTGTGGAACAAAAAAGGGTCTTTTGGTGATATTCAAACATGGAACTAGATTTAATTCCTTAGAGATGTCAAAGATTAGATGTCATGTATCCCAAAATGGTTGTCTTTTATATTTTCGACTGGATGTAACATTTTTGCATTTACACGTTTCATCCATTTTCATTCACAAAACAAAACATTGTTCCATCTGCAATGTGTTCTGTAGAAATCCCATAAACTCATATTACAATGGCAGGGTATTTGTGCATTCAGAAAGTCAAACCCGGAGAGAATTAATGTTCCCATTATTACTAATCCGCAACTACTTTTCACCTTCGCAACACACACAAACACACACCCACATGGGAGAGAGAGGGAAGC